CAACCTTTTTTCCGAGGTAAAGAGATTTAGAGCTCCGAAATGAGCATTTTCTTTGCAATTTTGGTCCGTATAGCAAGTTATAATTACGGACCGCAAATTGACCTATCGCATGGCGAAAACAGACTCAGCCATATAATAATAAAGATTAGTATTATGGTCTTCCGAAGGTATGGAGTGTTGATTGTTTGACTCGAGGTAGAGGATCAAAATGCTTGGGGCATTTACAGTCAATTATGGACTGAAAACTATAGAGAGAAGACAAGTACATTGTACCAATCACGATGATGGCCTTCTTTCAACTCAGGACAGGTGAGGAAATTGAAGTTCTTTTTTATTGAAGGGATATCGAAGTCTTTGCCAAATGACTCAGCTGCGTTCAGCTCCAGAACGAGCAGTCTTGGCTACACACGAAAAGCAAACAGACTGACAATTTAATATCAGTGGAACTTCACGTCGTTCCTATATAATTACATCTTTCTTGAAGGCTAAGAAGGATGTTACCATAATTTTTTCAACAACTGTCTTAGACGACATTGGGTTGATTTTTGCTGATCAGTTTACTGGTTAAAATTCTTAAGAAGAGAAAGAAGCAAAACTGAGTTCCCCATATCGCTAGTAAAGAATCACTGTATTTATAGGCATCCATATTCTCCTTTTCCATCTTGTCCTTTTCCTTGCGATTAATAGTATGGACTCCGAGTTAAAATGTATATGTTGTAGTTAATTTTTTTACCTCTGGTAATGTTTGTTTTCCCTTGTTTTTGAGTACTGTAATGTATGCTAATGAAGTTTAGACAGAAGAAAAAAATTACCTGAGATAAAAAAATAGCTACAACATACGCATATAATGTATATATAGAGAAAAGACGCTTTTGGAAACGAAACTGTTTCAAAAGACAAAAATGGGACGTACCATTTTGACCCAAACCCACCCCTACTCCCTCGATGACGAGATTTGTAGCACGTTCTATTCAAATAATATAAGTCTTCTACAACTTTATTAAAGTAAATCTAAATAAATTTAATAATTCATAGCTTGGTAGATTTCTTTATTTTGTTAGGGTAACTCTCGCTTTTTATTTCAACAAAAAAACTATTTTTAATTGTAGGAGCTAGCTTAATAACAACGGCATCTATTGAACAGCTAATAACTAAAAAGAAAAAAATGAACTAAAACTAACTTTAACTAAATTGAAGTTTGATACAGTATAGAAAGGATCGAAGCACACAAAATTACTATTAGCTATAACTCGGGGCAGCCCTATCCTACGTTATGACATTGATAAATTGATTGTATTGCCGGTGTTGCGGTATTGTGAAACGAACTTTTATTACATTCTTAGTTAATTTTCGGAGTCTATAAATGATGCCTTGCCTTTGTCGACTGTAGTTACAATTACACTGAATACAGTATTAAACTTGCTTCTTGCACCTTAACCCAAGAGTATCAAAGTTGAAGTTACTTTCTTTAGACAAAAGCAGGATCAGCAAAAGCAACTTTTATCCCGTTTGGCCGGCATTGATCTAGCCTTCCACGCAGGCGTTTTTAGGGGAGCTCGTTTTTCATCCCTCCCCACAAACGCCTGCTCAACCGAAGACAATATTCCTTTCCCATGCTTAGCCAATCACATTGTACTTTCCAAATTCTGGAAAGTTGACCTTGACTGCAAGGTAATCTGATAATTACTTAATCTGCATGAAACATTGGAAAAACTTTCTGACCTCTAATAAATGTTAGTTTCAGAGGGGTAAAAATAAGTTTTAGTCAAATTTTAGAATACTCCATGCACTTCGTAACCTTGGCGAGGGAAAGAAAAGAAGGAAAACGGTAATTCTAGGGTCACGTTTCAGTCGCGTTCAGCCTGTCATCACTTTACTGCACAACTGTTTATTGGTCACTTACCACGCAAATAAAACAATGGGAAAGGAGTGTTGTTTTCGGCTGAGCAGGCGTTTGTGGGGAGGGATGAAAAACGAGCTCCCCTAAAAACGCCTGCGTGGGAGGCTAGCATTGATCTTAAGCAAAGGCATTTCTGGCGAAGTGAACTTTTTGTGTCACACGTAATCGTCAACATAGCAACAACAACAACAATATAATTGCCTTAGCAGGGATTTCGCCCAGAGGGCGAAATCCCGAGAAGGCGCTCAAGTAACTCGCACATATATTAAGGAAAGTGCTTACAGCTGAAATATACAGTCAGTATGCCAGAAAAAAATCTCGATTTGCTTGAACAGGGGCCGCGAGGATCGGTAGGTAATGATGACGTTTCTATTGTTTGCGCCCGCAAGTACGAAATGGTTAGGATGACGTAAAGACAGAAGATCTCGAAGAGAGCGCTTAGGTAGACTTTGTGACATTTATTGTGCAGTCATACTTCGAGTAGGATACTCTTTTGCGTTAGGTGTTATCAGTGACATTCCGTGGAGCAGTTGTTTTTAAAGGTATGAACCAAAAGACACTTGTTAAGCGCAGATGAAGTTGTAAGGTGCGTATTACTGTGTATATATAAATTCACTTGGAGAGTTTGCCAGACACGAGTTAGCAAATCTTTGATAGGAAACCTTGCCAAACACTCTTTCTCTCTCTTTGACCGGAATTATAATTAAGACTCAGCCCCAAACAAGCAAGACGAGTGAACAACGGCTAGCTTATCACTAACAGAACGATGGACGATTACAGAAATTCGCCGACAGTCAAGGCTGTGCTGACTTATTCTCTGCTCACAGATGTCTTTCCGCTATAAAGTTAAAAATGAGACCAGAATGCGCGAGCGTGAATTGATCAAACGTCCTTTTAATCTCTAAGGCTTACTCAAGTTCCTGCAAAATGAACTGAATGTAAAAAGTGAAAGAGAAATAGCGAAAAATTCAACTTCTAATTAAATATTTTCTTATGGTTTAGAATAAACTATTCTTGAAACTGAGAATGTTTTGATCAAAGCTGTGTAAATCGAACTGAAACTGTGCATGGAACCTTGTGTTTGCTGTATTTATCTCACCTATTGTAAGGAATATGTGTGAAAATCTATATTATGAATCGGTATATTTCAAAGAGCTACACAGCGAGCAAGATTACTATTGACCGACAATATACAGAGCGGGGGCAGCTGTAGTGTCTACTATTACTAGTGTGTTTATTAACAAATAATAATAATAATAATAATAATTTTATTTATATAGCGCTAAAATCCAATAATTGTCCAAAGCGCTACCTAATTACAAAATAAAATATAAAAAATATAAAATATAAAATATCTACAATATACAATATAATTCAAATATAGCCTAAGTTATCTACTATATAAATCAAAAACATCTCAAAACAAAAGGAATCTCATAACCTATATGCTAACTTAAATAAAAACGTTTTAAGGGATTGCTTAAAAGTTGCCGCTGAAGCACATTTCCTAATCTCTAGAGGTAAATCGTTCCACAATTTAGGTCCTGCAATAGAGAAAGCTCTGTCTCCATATGTTTTCAATCTGCTGCTTGGAACCACTAAATATTCTTTACATGAAGAACGCAATGACCTAGAGTATGTTTTAAAATTCAAAAGGTCAGAAATATAAGAAGGTGCAAGGCCATGAAGGGCCTTGTATACCAATAAAAGGACTTTAAAAGTTATTCTAAACTCAACTGGTAACCAATGAAGATTAATTAAAATAGGAGTTATATGAACATGCCTCGGTGTCAATGTGACAACACGAGCTGCAGCATTCTGAACTGCCTGTAGTCTAGCTAACAGATACTTAGGAAGGCCATGTAATAAGGAATTACAGTGATCAAGTTTCGAACTAATAAATGCATGGACTAAGATTTTACATGTATCTTGGCTTAAGTACTTGCGGATTTTAGCAATATTTCTCAAATGATAGAATGATGATTTACAAATGTTCTTAATGTGCTCCTCAAAACTAAATATGCTATCAAACTGAACCCCTAAATTACGAACAGAGTCACGAGGTGCAATGCACTCAGAACCAACAGTAATGTGACCGATGTCAGGCATAGGATGGAATCTGGAGCTGATGACTACAAGGTCCGTTTTGTCCTGGTTTAGTTTAAGATAGTTTCTTATCATCCATTCATCAATGTCCCTCACACAGCATTCCACTCTCAACTTCACTTGTTGGATGTCATTCAAGCTGGTAGATTTAAAGGTAATATATAATTGGGTGTCGTCAGCATATAGATGGTATGATAGTCCATGATCATTTATTATGTCCGCAATAGGTGATGTGTATAACAAATACAACAAAGGGCCCAGAACGGATCCCTGAGGGACACCACACTTCAATGCACGTTGTGAAGAATGACTATTCCCAACTTTAACAAACAGCTTACGTGAAGAAGTTTACAATACTTTATGCCCCGCAAATAGCTATTATGCTAATCTAGGCAGGACAAAACTTGATAAAGGCGACATTAAATTACATAACAAAAAGAAAAGAAAAGAAATACAATAACATACAGAAAAGTTCAGAAAAAACACACAACACATTCGAAACGCGGTTGCGAAACGCTTGCATGGCGCTTTTCATTGACAAAAACATGCCAAAAGTTTTGATTGGGATGTAAAACGAACACTATCACAGGACGAAATGACAACTTTTAATTGTAATTATGGGTTCCTTAAAGGTAAATTAATGAACACTAGATGTTTTTAAGTAGTTTCATTGGAAAATTCCCAAGAATAAGCGGAAGGTCAAAAAAGTAGTCCCCTTTCCAGCCTTTCTTTCAGAGTTTTTTCGAAGGAAATGTGAGTTCCATTGGCCGTGAAACGTTGGACAAAAAAGGGAATGGGATAAATTTATCAAGCGACAAAAATTTGAACCACATTTTCAATAAATGGAAAGAAATTTTGGTAAGAGCTCAGTTTCTGGATTTCTCCGCAATCTTTGTTGATCCGCCGTTTCTGGCGTCGGACCTTTCCGCCCCCTCCACTGACCGGGTGAATTGCACCTTCGATCGACCACACCCGGTAAAACCTCCCAGTATACCAGGTTGCAGGTTGTGGGTTGTAGGTACACCTTGTTGGCTGCATGGGAACTCTTCCATCAGACTTGCTGGGAGTGGGCAACAGATACTTTTTTCCCAGCAATCTCCCAAAATGCTCAATCAGAAAGCTTTATTCATGCATTGTTGTTGTTTTTAGGTCTTTTTTCTCAAAATTTCCGGTTGGTTGCCCCGGAGAATGAACGTGAAGTGCCACAGGATCAGTCACTAGTGACGTGCGTTGAAAACGGGCCTACAGTTTTCCGGTTACCGTTTTTAATAAGACTGTTTCTGGGATCGTACAGGGGAAGCGCCGATCAGTTATTGGCTATACTTCCCCCCTTGTCCCTAGAGACAGTCCCAGAAGTCTTTGCAAAAGTTAACTCGGTCCAGTTTTCTTCTTGTTTCTTAAGAGGCGGACTTGAGGGAGTCATGGGGCCTATCGGAGAAAATACGCACGTCAACCGGAAGTGAGGCTTTCTTCCCTTTCATTTGCCTTGACGCCAACAAATTTGAATTAATAAGATTCTTTTCTCTTTTAAAGGCGACTTACCCGGGATTTTGAACCAACCACTGCCCAATGATGCAAAAAGTCCACTCCCGGTTGACGTCCGTCGCTCAAAAACGCTGTTGCTTAAGCTCACTAACATGGTGGAACATTATTCCGGGGGAGACTGCCATATAAAGGATCTCGTTTAGGAGTGGTATTTGACGATTTTGGTAGCACACACGGCGGAACAAAAATAACTACGTAAACCGGTATTAACTACGCCAATATTCACTTTAATCATTCCTGCATTGTTATATCTATTTACATGTTGTTGCCATGCTTATACAAGGCCAGAAAAACTCGACAAAATGATTTGATGAAATCGTCTGACATTGGAAAAGAAAGAGACAGAGGAGGTACTTTGGTAATTTGTCGAGGGAGAAGGGAAAACGTAACCGTTCTCCTAAGAATCAGAAGGGTTAAACCACAAAAAGGCAACAGCATTTTTTACCTTTCTAAAGAGTTTAGCATGACAAAATGACAGACAATCTCGTTTTCATGCAAAATTGCTGAAGACCTGACTTCATCATTTCTTCGCGGGCTAAATCGGTTAAGTGTGTTTAAAGATAATTTTTTTTCGTATACGTAGATTTCCATTTATGGAAAACCAAAAGGTTGTTTATCATTGGGCCACTTTAATCACGATTATTGTTACTATACCAGTCTAATAAGGTGCTCTGTGCGAGAGCGCCCTGGCGTTTAATGCCACCCCGGTAACTTTGAAGAGAAATAAGAGACGCAGTAGTATCTGCAAATTGATGTTGTTGACGATGCAACCTTCACCCTGCTGGCAGAGCATCATTTTAGGAAGGTGAAAAGGAGGCTCTCGCTGAATCGCGTCAAGCCTTTGTTGTCGCGGAAGCCCGAACTTCTGTACTAAGTCAGTCTTGTTCATTATTGCAAAAGAACTACTAACCTAAAAAGAATTCGTTCAACAACTTCCACCTTGTAACTATTTCTAAAAAAAACCTCCATTTGTCCCGACAATTAAATTGGAGAATACGAGGACAACATTGGCGTAAAATATTTCTTGTTAGGGTGTGCTTTTTGTTTTGTTTTGATTGCTTTCTTCTCGTTTTCACCGATCTGCAAAACCTAGTTAAAATGAGAGTTGCTGGCCATTACGTACTATTTTATTCAAGAAAGATGTAGGGAAGGAAGTGGAATAACGATTAGAAAGATATTACGAATGGTATACGGACTACTGAATACTGCTAAGTGGTACGCGTGCTCTGATTGGCTGGCTCGGGAGAAAATAGAATTTATTATTCAAATCCGGGTATCGCAAGAGATTTTTTAAAATTTAGTCGTCTCAAAATTTGCTAAGGTGATTGAGACGACCAAGCGCACCTATGGTGCAATTGGACAGAACTAACGTTTCTACATATGCTAGTCGGATAGTTGGATAGTCTCTATCGTCCCAAAAATACGAGGCGATATAGACGATCCCGACGTTTATTTGGAAACCAGGTCCCAGTTGTTCAAAGGGTGGATAGCGCTATCCATCGGATAAATCACGATCCAGCGGATAAGTATTAGGGAAACCAATTGGGATAACAATATCCACGGGATAAAGGTTTATCGAGTGGATAGCGTTATCCACCATTGGAACAACTGGGACCAGGCTTTATGCTACATATTATGTACTGCAAAGACACAGCTGATATTTAAGGTCTTGAGGGCACAGGTGGCCGACCAGGTACTGGAGGCGGAGGAGCTGGCTTTGCTGGTGCATTGGGTCTCCTGTGGTGAAACAGACACAAAAAGAACAAAAACGTTACACATCAGATGCATTTCACATCACATCATTTTTTATTGACCTGTGGAACGACCCGTAAAATAGGGGTGATGAAAGGTCCATTAAAATTTTTAACTGCTCGCAAAATTTTACCTTTGCTCGATTTGCTCGCAAAATTTAAAGTATTGCTCGCTTGCTCGTGCTCCCCAAATTTTTGCGTTGCTCTCAAGGTCGCAAAGCAAATTTTTTATTTCTGCTCGTGCTCGCAAAAAATCGCAGTGCTCGTCATGCTCGCGAATGTTGGCAAAGACCATTCGACACCCCTTAAAATGTTAGCTCTCGTCAACAAGTTACTGCTATGTGTGAAAGAAGGTATAGCATTTTCAAGTATTCGCTCTTATGGACATCTAAAAGGCATCGGAGTCCAAAAAGATGCAACTTATTTTCATCCTTTAAAGTTCGCGGTACATTATGATTTAAGTATACTCATTCATTCGACCTTAGCTTTGGAGTATTTTGCTTCGAGAAAGACGATTTTTTTTTTTAATCAATGACACAAGTAGCTCGGAAGAATAAATCCGAGCGCGACCCTATAACCCTCTGGTTACTAGTCCAGATGCTCTACCACTGAGTTACAGGAAGACTCATGGCAGCTAAGGCCTCTAAACAAGGTTCCTGTGACAACATCCTGCATACTCTTTTAAGCTCTTCAAATCCCATGACGTTCCATGACTATCTCCATGACTTTTTCAAATTTTCTAGCTCTTATTGACTATTAGGTTAAGCAGTCGCTTTCGAAAATTTTTGAAGCTCTCCTTGTCTTCGTTCAACAGACACAAACTCCGGTGTCCACCAAAATGTGTGCGGTTCGCGCTGTTTGATTTCTCGTCTTGATCAATGTTGTCTTTGCTTTGTCATCTGCAGTAAATTATCTATTAAAATAATATTTAATTTTCCAAGACTTTCCAGGACCGGCAATTAAATTCAATGAATTTCCAGGCCTGGAAAATGAAATTGTTAAATTCCATGACTTTCCAGGTTTTCCTTGACCTGTACGAACCTTGTGCTAGGACAAGAATGTCGATATTCGCTTATGCGCAATGACAGAGATGTGATGGTGAATTTTGAACCTGGGCCCAGTTGTTCGATAGCCTTTTTCGAAGGCTGATTAGCGCTAACCCGGGGTTAAATTTCTTTTTCTTTAGTTCAAAAGCATTTTCTCGGATAATTTTCTGTATTCTTTTTAGAGCATCTAATCATCAAATTGTAGACAAAAAGAATTAAGTAATGATCCGGGTGAGGTGGATAGCAATTTCTTTTGTTATGCGGCAACGGTGCTTTCCCCAAATAGGAATGTTCTCATTTTTACACAGAGAATGCATAAACCTACATGAAGGCCGTTTACGCAATAAAATGCATTTACACTCCACTTTGAAATGGTGTTTTTTTGTGTTAAAAGATTTTGACCAATCACAAGAGTTGAAAACAATAGCCAAGAAAAGTTTACAATTTTACATGTTCCCCACATAGGATTTCTTTGTTATTCAAACTGAGACCAGATTTTGTTATATGGAAGATGGTTGGAAAGTAAGGATGAATATATGTACCGCTTTATGAAGTTTTGTTAACTTTTGCTGTTTAAGCCCATCAGAAGTAAGTACAGACAATAGAAAAGTTAGCACCTTTTTTGCATTCCAACATGTTCGTTGCCGTTGTTGCTATCGTTCTTATCTGGACCTTTTCTTAAACTGAATTTGCTTCTTGAGCATTCATATCTGAATTCAAATTTTTCACTAACCCCGGGTTATCTTAACCCAGCTTTGAACAACTCGGTGAATACACGAGAATACTGATTTGTCAATCATTTGAGCGTGGTAAAATATGCACTGCTCACCTTGGTACAGTTGGAGTACCGTCTGGTCTTGATGGCACGCTAGGGACGGGACGAGAAGGGCGTGAGGGTGGTGTGGGATTTGCACCCGAGGACGGTCGAGGTGGAGGCGGCTGTCTGCTTCCCCTTGAGAAAGAAAAACAATTACAAGTGTACTGGAAATGTTCTTACAAGTACTATAAAAGCAAGTCACAGACTTGCAACCTATGGTGTACTACAGTTGTGGCACGAATTAAATGAGACCAAGATACAAGTTGCCAGATATTGCCTATAAACCATTTCGCGTCTCTTTTAAGTCGGAGCAATAAAAAACACAACAACAACAACAAAAAGGGAGCATATACACACATTAAAAAAACCGATTTTTTTCCACCTCTTTGGGAAATCAGCGTACGATCAAACTCACCCGGGACGAACCTGGGAGGGGAAAGGATCCGGGCTGGGAGTGGAACATGACGATGTTTGGTTGAAAAATGGATTTTCTGTAACGTACCAAAACTTGTAAGGTAGTTTTTTAATTCGAGTGTGCGGTCCTCACATATGTTTGGCAGCAACAGAAGGATTTGAGTAAAAAGTCTATTTCAAGAGAAAACTATTTGTCAAACCTTGGAGGTTTGTATGAGTCAGTTGAGTCCAGCTCTCCCGTATCCACAGGCGGCGGCAGTGCTGTGGTGATGGTGGTGGCGTCTATCTCGCCGATTATCCGTAGAGCTTCTTTTAAGCTGTGAAACATGCGCAGCATCTCCTCGCGGCGAGTTATTTCGGCCTCGCTTTCTTGCATCAGGTCATTCTGAGTCATGAACAGTCATAATTAACACCAGTGGCGGATCCAGGGGGACCCACCCCTCCCCCCTTACTTTTATACCAAACTGAGGCCCGCAGGTCCGAAAAAAAAAATTTCTTTTGAGACCCCTCCTCGCCCCTTATCTCAGGGTCTGGATGAAAGCCCCCCTTCCTCCCCCCTTATCTGAAGGTCTGGATTCGCCACTAAACACAGGGAACTTACGCACGCCGATCGGGTGTTTAAGGAACTAAGGCCTAGGCCAGACGTCGAAGTTTTTCATGAGGCGAACCAATTCTAATTTGGGCGACCTAATAAGTTAAGATTCTCTGCTGGGTCAGACGTCGAACTTAGGACCCGTCGAATCAATCAACTGAATCAGACCAATAAGCTATTTTTTATAAATTTCTCCCGAACAAGGCTAAATATACATTATCGTACAAATTTATCAGTTGAGTTCGTCGCACGTGAAAATCGACGTTTGTCCCGGAGACGATCTTCAGACGGATAGAATGAGGTGGACGATCCAAACTCGCTCAGACGAACTTAACTGAGCCATACGTCGAATTTTTCATGAATTTAACTCACTAAGTTTGGTTCGTCTCATGAAAAGTTCAACGTTTTGCCTTGGCCCAAGGCAGAGACGGGAGCCAAAACGGCATTTGTAATATGTATTCGCGTTCTTTCAGATTTCATTGTCATTAGTTTACCTGCCTAAGGTTATCAAAATGTAAGCGAATTCTCCGTAAGTTGAATTCTTGGGAAGTAAATTAAAGACAAATTTTGTCGTTGTATTTACGTCGTTATAAACCATCAACTTGTGCAAAACAACTGCTCTGGACGTGCACCACACTTTTTGGTACATTTCTTTTTCGTCCCGTGCAGAAATACGGCATGAAATTTCTTAATGAGATGTACTGTCAATGGAAATGTGAACACAAGAAGACGAATTTCTCTCTATTTTTGAACTTAGATTTCGCAGCAGAATTCAACACGGAATTGAAATAATAGCGATGAAGATTGAAAGCACATGAATTCACTCTCTAGTAGACGCCTTCACTACCGTCTTCCTCATGGTTTCGTAACATTCCTAGAATCTAAAACTCAAGACGAGGAAACACAGGTGAGAATAGAGAGTTTTAGATCCGAGTTTACCGCGAACCTCAAACCGCGCTTTGCGGTTACCCGTTTGCGGTTCGACGTTCAAACATAATTCGATTTAGATTGGCGGTGGATTAAAGAAGTGTATTCTGGTTTATTTTTCCATTTAGAAATATTAGAAATATCAATCAGTGAAAAGAAAATAAATTTACGGTAACACTGAGTTATCTAGCAGCAAAGAGCTGTAAATTTTTACATTAGTTCTTCTTGCAAATCATGTACGGCCGCCATTTTGAATCAGCAGCCATGAATGGCACTTGTTTTCAAGAGCCAATAGGATTTATCAAATTTAGCATTTCGCCCGAATTTGTGCCTCTGTTAATGGATAAAGACTTGCTCCACAAGATTTTTGTATCATTACGTGGGATAAAACAAGAATTATGCACTAAAAGCTTTCAGGTAAATGACATACGTGAAAACCTACCTCCCCACGTTGAAAACGCAAGTCGTAAACCTCAAACGTGACGCGAAAGACTTGTCACGTGACCTCCAGAGGTTAGAGGTTCGCGGTAAACTCGGATCTAAAACTCTGTATTAAATGGTTTGCAACCACTTGACAAGGCGGCCATGTTGGGGGTCAAAACAAAAGAATATTTCTTCGAAGAATTTACATGAAAATAGAGTTTAGTTCCCAGAGGAGAGAAATGCTTTTGTCCTTGACCACCAACATGGCTGCCGTGACGTCAGTGCAAACTAGCAATAAGTAGAACCCCGGTAACTCGAGCTCTGAAGGGAAACGAAAAACATTTCGAGTAACCGGGGAATTCAAGTCATCGGGGTAAATTTCAGTGAAATTTTGATCAAGGGAAAGAAAATTTAGTTCGAGTTAGCGGAGAATTCGAGTTATCTGAGCTCGGGTTATCGAGGTTCTGCTATAGCTATAAAGAAATTGCTGGCTTCCTCCGTAATTAGGTTATTTTTGACCTCGAGACGGTTAACAGTAACCAGGCTTAGGCTATGTTCACACTATACCGGATAGCACTTGCACCGTCGGCATGAAAACCATACCGGATGGGGCCTCTGTTCACACATAAGAACGGTGATTACGGCGCGATTTCTGTAACGGAGCGAAACTGCCCCGCGCCGATCTCTAAAGTGGAGAGCCACACATCGGATTGGTGTTCACCCTATACCGAAGAGCTTTTCGTGACGTCACGAAAAGCTCTTCCGTATAGGGTGAACAAAGCCTTAAACTTCGGACATTTGAAGGGGCTCTTTCACCGCAACTGTTTCACATCATACTTTTATAATAATAATAATAATAATAATAATAATAATAATAATGATTATTATTATTATTATTATTATTATTATTATTCCGTTATTTACCCTCGGCAGTATTTATAGCCCTTATGCTAGTGGGGCCGAACAAATGCTTGAAACAAATAATTCAAATTGAACTTAAGGTGGCTCGACTGGATTTTTTAGGGTTGATACCTCCCAAGTTTGAGCATTAACTACGTCGGCATGAGTGAAGATATGGAAAAAAAGTTACCACAACTGTATTATATAAAGATGAAAATTTCTTATGATCTGGGTTTTATTGCAATCGGAGTCGCCATGGCAACGTAATGACGCCATTACGTTTTTCATTTATCTTTGTCTTTCTCTGTACCAGGAGTTTTTTGAAGAAATCGCTTAAGGGAGTATGTACCTGCCATAATTGCCTCCATTATGGCAAAGTTTAAAGAAATTCTATGAGAGCGTTTTCGAAATACTTTGAAATGCAGTTTTAAGAATCATAAAAACAGTGAAATAGCATGCTAGCCGCACAATTCGCTAATATTTTAAGAAAATGATCAGCTTTGGGAACGCGGCTTCTTCTCATAGTGGTTTGATTCCATTGAAAACTGCCTACAAAAAAAGAGGGGAATTGCTCTGGGCGATCTCGAGTAAGAAGAATTTTATTAACTTGCATTCGGCTGCTTTTGATACAGTTTTTGGACCTAATTTGGTCCATGCCTAAAACTCTCGCATTTTTCCAAAAACCGCTACATAAATTTTTTTATAAATTCGACAATCCCGAGATCAATTGTCAAGAAATATTCCCTGCAAGTTTCAAGAACATTGAAAAAGGGGAAGGCTTTTAAATAGGGGCTCAAACATAACCAATTTCCCCCCTAGATTTTGTGTTTACAAGTGAGCGTCGTAATTATTCACTGGCATTGTTTTCAAGTTTCATATGCACGTGCACAACTAGCAAAAGACATAAATTTGCATAAAAAAGAACTCTCGATTACTTTCCGAAGAAATATCCGGATATGCTAATAATTGGCTTGTCGTCACAGATAGCAGTGAGAGCCGAAACGGTGAACGTCACGGCTCATCGTGTAGGATGCAATACTTAATTATCTTACTCGGGTTATAGCATCACAGAAACTCTCACAAAGAGTTGCTCTGATGTTATAATGTATCACTAATCTCTTTACCCGGTAATTAGCATATCCCGGAGATTTAACCGAGGGTCCTTTTTGATGCAAATTCTATCTTTTTGCTAAATGTGCACGTGTATATGAAACTTGGAAACAATGCCAGTGAATAAGGAGGTTTTTGGAAAAATGCGAAATTTTTAGGCATGGACCAAATTACGTCCAAAAACTGTATCAAAAGCAGCCGAATGCAAGTTAATAAAATTCTTCTTACTCGAGATCGCCCAGAGCAATTCCCCTCTTTTTTTGTAGGCAGTTTTCAATGGAATCAAACCACTATGAGAAGAAGCCGCGTTCCCAAAGCTTATCATTTTCTTAAAATATTAGCGAATTGTGCGGCTAGCATGCTATTTCACTGTTTTTATGATTCTTAAAACTGCATTTCAAAATATTTCGAAAACGCTCTCACAGAATTTCTTTAAACTTTGCCATAATGGAGGCAATTATGGCAGGTACATACTCCCTTAAGCGATTTCTTCAAAAAACTCCTGGTACAGAGAAAGACAAAGATAAATGAAAAACGTAATGGCGTCATTACGTTGCCATGGCGATTGCAATAAAACCCAGATCATAAGAAATTTTCATCTTTATATAATACAGTTGTGGTAACTTTTTTCCCGTATCTTTACTCATGCCGACGTAGTTAATGCTCAAACTTGGCAGGTATCAACCCTAAAAAAATCCAGTCGAGCCACCTTAACAGGGTTAAGAATCCCAACTGGCGGGAGGTAAACCAGCTGGCTATTTACAAGCGTGGTCCAGGATTTGAACTCGTGACTACCGTGAACAAATCCAGCTAGCGGTCAGAGCGGGACTTGAACTCGGGGCCTCCGAATTGCAAGTCCGGCGCTCAAACCACTCGGCCACGCCGCCTCCTCCTCATTTTACCACTGAATTCTACGTTTTTCAGATGTGTCTGGGGAGTGAGTACATTAAATACCTTAACACAATTTCAGGGAAACGGTACTAATCTACCAAACGTATTTCAAACGTGAATCAAAGCTGTTCTCAACTTTCTCTCACCTGATTTCCAGTCGAATATAAATGTGCTAGCAACTCTTGGCCAATAAAATCTTTTACCTGTAATGTAAGACAGAGCAAAGAAGACATTCACTTACGGTTGTCACCCCTGAGGGGAACAGTTCAGTATCTGCAATTATCCATCCCCATACTCGTTCACCCACCCACCATTCAGTTAGCAAGTCAGCCTTTTGTAAACTGTCTGACTTGCCTTGTAAATACAGAAAGTAAAAGGTGTACGCAGCAGCGGGTCGACAAGTTAAACTAACAGATAGCAATTTAGCATGCATTTTTCGGCAGAGACTTCTGCCTTCTTCACTGTTAGTTACAAGAAATCTAACAGTAGATTTGTAACTAGCACTGAAGGAGGCAGGTCAAACTTCAGGCCTCGTGTACTCGTATCGAGCGGAAAAAAGCATACGCGTCCACAAGTAGCGTATTCGAATCACTTTCGTCAGTTCACGCGGAAATACGATAGCATCCCTTACCGGAATAATAATAATAATAATAATAATAATAATAACAATAATGGAATTTATATAGCGCTTATACATCGCTGTTCTGAGCGCTTAATGTACGACATCATAATGTATCATCATCATGTATGACATCATCGTATTCAAGTATAGTAAGGAAGGCAGCTTACATTGTTAACGACAAAGAACATTACAGTCTTAGGCACTAGATCCCGTATTGTCTTGCTGACAATCCTGATGTAAGAATCGGCCAGGGTTCGTATAGTTTCCACTTGTCGTTCCAGCTGAGGGTCCAGGGTACCTATCTCACCTTGCTGAGAACAAAAAATACAAAAAGTTAATGCGACAATGATAAGGAAGAAAAACGCGAAATGCATTAACGGTTTTATGCAATAAGGTAATTGCGTCCGAAAGGAGCAGTAATGGTCTCTCATCGAACTCTCTTCTGTGACACCATTTCAGCTGCCCGGCACAGATTTTTCAGGGGCTTTCTCTTAACTGGGAAAAGAGAAAAAAGATCTATTTTGTGCCTCGTTAGACCAGGTGGATCATTATACGTTGGTACTCACTGTCTTCTCTATGGCTAAAAGCTTACAATTAATTTTGGAACTCAGCGCAAACCAACAGATTAGTTAGTTATCTGCAAACAAACAACTGACTGATCCGTAGGTTACGCGAGCAATGCATGATTTTCAAGCGCAATGTTCCGTTTGACGGTATGTTTGTCGTTATTCTCTTCGAAAAGAACAAAAGATAAAGCAAAAGTCAGGTTTACATGACGCACTACCCAAACGGCAGTACAAAGAGTATTGTGGTATTTTCCGCGTCGGCCAATGTTATGTCAGCACAAAATTGCATCAAGCACTTTAGAATTGCTCACATTACCACATCCTATTTCATCACGTGTTTGTCTTTAAACGTCATCGATAATGGAACTCACCAGACTTTTATCATCTGAAGATTCCCTTTCTGGGTAGACCCCCGCGCGTAAGAAAGAAGCTTTCCAACTATCCACGACGTCTTGGTTTTCTCCAGTCAGCTCCAGACTTTTATAATCTTTAAACAGGTTTCTAAGGCAAAGTTACGGGTCAAGTTAATCGTAAAATACACTACATACATTTCTTTTCCAGTTCGATTCCCACAAAAGTTTGTGGCACTTAGTTGTTTTCCACTTACTTTGAAAGTGATAATCATGCTCAGTGTAAAACCACTTTTTGAAATGATTTCTTCACTTTTTTGACATTTGGATGGGTCTACACTAAGATATTCTGAATCGTAAAATCCGGAATCGTAAAATTCAACAGGGATTGTTTATTTGGCTTGTACAATCTCAATCTCAGATTATACACCATCAATAACGACTACCAAAGCATAACTCACAATTTCGAGCCATAAATGACGTAAATATATGAGACAGAAATTCCACACTGCACTTCTTGACTCAAATGTGCAGTTTCAGTATAAAATATTGACCATTTCACTGTGTTCTTCACATGAAAATCATGCTGAGAGTTAAATCAGTCTGAGGGACCATTTAAGTCACGTATCAGAAGGTGAACAATTACAACAGACGGCCGTAACAGTAGTTCCACAGGCTCTAGGTCTCTTTGTTCAATAAACAAGCATTCGTTGAACTTATCCGAGATCACGTTGAAAACAAGTTAGATCATTAAGACTCACTTCTGATCCGGATTGAAGATAGCAAAACCATGCTTGCGCGAAATGAATCCTGCTTCGGCATCACGCAATCGTACGCCATCCAATCCTAACTGATATTTTTGTTCTTTTTCCTGGTTCGAAGGCAATATAAAACATAAAAGGGTTTTCCCAGAACCTGGTTATACGCTATTTGTTTCATAGTTTAGCTTAGAGCAGACAGGCTCTGTCACTCTTTCCGCTGCAAATAGAGTCAGACTTTAATACTGGTACCAAAGGGTCTGCTTTACATGGGGCTTAATGAAATTTAGACTAAGTTAAACTCGAGGCAATGCTGGCCAGCAGTCTCTCGCTTGTGATTTTCGGGGCGCCCTATGGCTTCGCAGGGGCCTTGGGGTTTTACAGCTTTGCGGCAGAGGTCAGCCCATTACGTTCACGTTGCTTCTCGTTGCTCGTGCTTGTGTGCTCCCTTCCCTCCCGTTGGTAAGTATATGTTAAGAACTCTAGGTTACACTGGTTAGCAGCGTTACGGGACCCAGGTGGTTGCCACTCACAGGGTTGTCATCGTTACGCGTTGCTCTCCGCTTGGGATCTGGCTCTACCAACTTTTCGGGCACCTCCCCCACGCTCATCTTTGTTGATGAGTCAAAATTGATGCCCATGTTATAGATAAGAGTGTACGGTGTTTGGTATCTCTAGGACCAAGAGAACTGCCCGTGAAGTGAACTCGTTATACTTATGGTGAGGTCTGGCATCTTTGGGACCAAAACAACTGCCGGTAATAAACACGCTGAAAATGGATGGCCTCAAAAGCAAGTTTGCTTTCCTTCGCGCGTCCGCTAGACTGACCAAACAAGCCATGTGTGTTTACCTTCTTTCGCTTAACCAATTAGAACGCTCCCTGGCAGTTCCTGAATTCTCCCCTGACCCGTGACGTGTCTTAGAACGCAATACGAAACGGGAAGGAAGCCGGGTCGGAAAAACGTTCGCAAAGACTTCTGGGGCTGGAAATGGAGACATGGAAAAATAACTGGCCAATAGCTGACCGACACGTTCCTCAGTAAGAATGCGAGACACATTTCGGCACCAGTCCCGTGATCGCTTCTCAAGTGGCGCATTCTAGAAGAATAGAGCGTATTCACTCAGGTGCAGGGTGCAAAGAAAATTATTTTTACAGCTTGCCATTCGGGCAAGCTGAAGCTAGCATTTACTAGCCCAGACGTCATTTCAACTAGCCCCAAAATCTTTTTGACCAGCAGAATTGATTTCACAGTTCTTCTGTTATTCAAGTTGCTCAAAAAATATCACTTGCCCGTCGGGCAAGTTAAAAACAGAATTCACTAGCCCGATGGCAAAATCCACTAGCCCCGGGCTATTGGACATTACTTTCTTTGCACGCTGAGGTGGACAGCATCTATGCAAATTCTTGGAACAAAACAAAGCATTTACATAAGAAAAGAGTTCAACTCCCACAGGATTTTCTTTGTAAACCAACATAGCCGCCGTTTCATTGTTTTGGAACACCAATGTGGCCGCCGCGACGTCATGTGAAAACGCTCTATAAACACAGTCGGTCATGCTGCAGGACACGCCGAAGCTACTTGTAACAGCAAGAACACGCACAAAAGACATGTCACAGGGACGCTAGTCAGAGGCATAATTCTGTCTCCCCGCCTGGCCAAATTACGCTTGATACCGTTGCAGAGAAGTACTGTACAACCGTACAAACGGCCTCTCAACATTTTGCTTAACTGACAGTAATTTGAACTGCCACATGTTAAGGGACATATTACCCGCAAAAATAGTTTGCGTTTCCCTAATGCAGAAGTATAACCACACACAAAAAGATTTGTCTTTTCATTTCATCCCTGAAACGTGCCCTGTAACATGACCTCAGGTTTCTTTAATAAGTTTGAAACCTACCTCCTCGTCCTTGTACCAGGAAAGAGTTTCGGCTAAAAATAAAAAAAAATAAAATGAAATGAAATGAAATGAAAATGAAATGGACATCATACTAACGCCAGGATATAAAGTTTGGTCAAAGTTAAGAGTGAGGATAAAAACGGAGGTCTTCTTAACCCCACCTGCATCAACTCTAAACTCCAGAATACAATTTAAGTACTGACGTGTGAACAATAGTACTGTGATTACTGACGCTGGGTGCTTAGTAACCTTTCCTACCTACAGGGTGGGTGCTTCGGTGTGGGCGCGTATTCGAGGTTGGGCGCTAATCGAGTAAATACGGTACATGCCTACAATGCCTACATCGATTCTCAACGCGAAATCTTGATCGAAGCAATATAATTAACTTAATAAAAACACCAATCCAAAACAACTTGTCACCAGACTTAAATGTCAAGGTGACTTGACAAAAAGTCGAATGGAATCGGTACAAAAAACTCCCAGAAAAAAATGAAACAACTTAAATATCCACACTTTGAGCACAGGGCTTTGAATTAAGTGCCGTAAAACCAACACAAGTCCTGGTTATAAAAATGTACGAAATTTTTGGCCAACCACTGAGAGAAACAGTAACCAATACAAGAATATTTTGTTAATGCCAAAGACTTAAAGCCAGCAAACATCATGTACAGCATTGAACATACGTACAATATTAGATGATCTAGTTTAAAAGGTGTTTAATAAAACCGCGTTCTGAGGCATTTCAAGAAGGCAGCGTCAAGAAGTCTTACATTCCAGCAAAAATACCATTTATTATTTACAAAAAAACTTTTAAAAAATGTTTGGAGGCCTACTGAGTGTCTTACACCGCGCTCTAACAAAGGCTTTGCTTAAATGACCAACCCTAAGTCTCTCCAACTAACCTGTTAGTATAAACCAGTATTCTTTGCTGATACCCTTCATAAATCCAACATTGCTTATCGTGAGCCAGCCTTTCCTGATCACCTAAAAGGAAAGAAAATGAAGAGGAAGAAGAAGAGGGAAAAAAAGAACAGTGGAAGCTTTCTTACTGGGCACTAGTAAGCGGGCAACAGCTCTTCTTACGGCCACTTTCACAAACCCCGTTTTCTCTCGACTCTCATATAAACTCTGTATTTTCACTTTCCCGTTAGCGGCCATGCTCCAGTAACCATGTACTAGAAGAAGAGGGAAACAACAGAAATACAGCGAAGGCTCTCCTAGTAGACACTCGTAAGCGGGCAACAGCTCTGCTTACAGCCACCTTCACAAAACCCCGTTTTCTCTCCACTCCCACACAAACTCTGTATTTTCACATTCCTGTAAGCGGCCATGCTCCAGTATTCCATGCTCCGAGGGTGTTCGCTTACGAGAGTTTCCAATGTAAATCAAATTAAACCAACTTATCACAACCTTGACATAAACAATCAGGCAAACAGCACACGCCCTAGTATCCGTTCACTAAGAAACGATTATTGAATGAAAGCAAACTAACACATTTGGTGGCTCTTAGGAAAAATCTTGTGCACATCGCCTCCATGGGTGTGTTATATGGTCATTCAATTTACCTGCCACTTGCGAAGTTTAGGGCTCGATGGTTTTATCAATAAGTTTGGCTCTGCTAACAACTTAGCATGCACCGTTGCACTGAGCGCTGTGAGTGTGAGAGGACGTAGAAGTGAGAAAGTCTGCTGAACAAAGAATGGTTTCTTTAAGCACAAACCTGGTTGGATACGGTTCTCTTTGTTTTTCTTTCGCCTGGATTGGAGTTATTTGATGCCCTAAGGTAGTATCAGAAAAAAATAATAATAATAATAATCAGCTGTTTTACTGCTGGTAAACAGTTAAAAAATAGACAATACAAACATCAGATAAAGCCCCTGCTTATAACATACATGAAAAAGTCAGGACTATTCTAATAACAGCGTCACTTTTGTACACGGCTATTTAACAGAATTAAAAACATTTCGAAGTTGGTTTTGGTTCCCTTTTCTTCACTTTTTAATTGGCTGAAAACTGTCGCTTCACTTTTTGAGCTATTTTGAAAAGATAGCTCATATGTCAGTGGTGTGAGCGTATGTATCTTTGTGGCTTTGTATGTTCGGATGTTTGTTGCAAGAGCCAATAAGGTTGAAGGTACTATGAGTTGATGCTTAGGAACCAATGAGATCTTGGTATCTATTAAATATGGCATTGCTAAAGGTCGAAGGGGACAAGGGCACTTTGAGACCGCCATCTTGATTCTTCACAATTTTTTCGTCTTTTATTACGGCTACAGGTGCTTAGAAGCATTACATTAAATATCTTCATAATTCAAACGCTGTGTACAGTGATGCAGCTGTTTAAGGGTTCATATTTCAGTGTGGATGCTGCTTCAAGACATTTCTGACCGAATTCGGCTATCGCGAACGGTACAACGCACGTATTTATGGGGCTGTTAATGGGGTTAACCGACTAGCGACAAAAGACGAAAAATATTACTGACTACCGACAAAACGAGAAGAAATTACCGACTACCGACAGGGAAAAAATTAACCGACTACCGACATGGATCGACATTATCGATATTTGTTTTCAGAAACTAAAGAGCATTTTCAGTACATAATTTTCACCTCTTGTCGTCCAGCAAGTGTTAAAATAGATTTGCCAAAGGAGAAGTATTTCAGATTTCAAAAAGCGCTTGATGGACAGAGGCTAGCCACACAATTTTGAAAGACAAATTGCTATCAGAAGCAAAACTCACAGAAAGAATACCGCGCCCCTGAAACAAAACAACAGGGAAGTTTAGAAAAGAAAGATTGCCTTTCGTGACAAGTACCAGCCCTTAACTGTCTACTATAAAAGAAGCTTTAAAGAAAAAGTGCAATCTCAAAGAAATTAACCAACCACTACTTTGCCAACTTTCTAAAGAACTACCGATTATTTCCCTGAGAAAGAAAAATTATGGCAGAGGATGACATGCTTAGAGCCAAAATAGTAAAGGAATTAATAGAAGTGCAGCCTGTAACCCCATGCAGTTTTTCACTCAAACTAATTTAAGTATCCAAAAGGCTAGAGTGGGTGATTTCTCTGTGTCCATTAATTAATCACTTTTTATTGTGCCCTGTCGTCAACAGCGAAACCAGGTTCGTATTTACAATAAAAGTTTTGGTGATTTTATCACTACTATATGGGCAAACGAAGGTAAAGTAAACGATCATGTTGCTCAAACAAACCAAAGTTAAAGAAGTTTAAATGCAATCAAATGATGTCTTTTACCAAGTCTTTTCCTTAGGAATCAAAGTCTTGGAACTGGGTGAAATACATAAAAAATAATAGTAATAATTTACAAGCGTTTTTTCTTATTAACTGAGATTTACCGACAACCGATAAAGATCGAAAATTTTAACCGACTACCGACAAAGTAAGTGAATTTTAACCGACAACCGACAAGTGGACGCGTAACTTAAGCCTGGTTTCCATCTGATCGCCGCGAGTTCAGCGATCGCAGCGATCATAGCGGTAATAAGGAAACCACTTTCCCGCGATAGTAGCGATCGCAGCGACAACGATCACTGAGATAGAATTTTTTCTATCTCAGCGATCGTTAAGGGGCACCCAACGAGAATATAGTTTAAAACCACTGAACATAGCATTGTTAAACGTATTTTAGTATTTAAACGGTATATATAGGCATATTTTTATCCCCTCAAAATTTTTCATCTGTTCGGATTTCCTAGCTGAAAGTCTAGTGATCCGAGAATTACAGGGATCAAAACTTACCATCATGATTTCGAAAATTTCAGCAAGAAAAATGGCTCCCGAAAATTCTAGGTGACCTTTTAAGGGTAAAAAACCGTTAAAAATGGGCAAGCAAGAACAAATGTTCCGAAAATTCTGGATCGCAAATCGTCTTCCGAACAGATATTTTCCGAAAATTGAAGTTGGGTGCCCCTAATCGTTGTCGCGGCGATCGCTCAGGAAAGTGGTTTCCATATGATCGCTATCTTTTTTTTCTCAGCGATCACAGCGATCGTAGCGATCATATGGAAACCAGGCTTTAAGTAGAAACAGCTAGTTACGTTAGGGAATTAAATTGGAAGAAGCTAGTTGACACTAATTAGATATTGTTTTATTGAGTAGAATAATATGATATGAGTAGAAATACATTTCGGCAGTTTCAATTGATAATTTTGTTGGAAGTTAATAAATGCTAGGCTATCAACCTTGACGTTGCATGAAGTATAATTTAATTGCAGATGTTGTAAAGCGGTGATTTCTTAAAATCGTTTGAAAAAATTTTCTAGTAAACAATTTGCGTTTTTTTCTTACGTACGAATTGCATAAGGGCTAAAGTCCAACCTCTTCACGTGCAAATTGTGTGCATGAGTTATTTTTATAATTCTGTTTACTGGATTGCTGTGTGATAACTCGAATTCCCTCACGTACGAACCACGAAAGGGGCAAGTCCGACACTTTCACGGGCAAACTGTGTGATTCTACATCTCACGCAATAGTAGTCACTTGAACGTATGAAGACATCTTTAGCTTTGTAACTAGTGCCTAAGCAAAGGCTCTTTTCTTTTAAGAGGCAAAAACTCATAACACTCTTAGAATTAAGTGGTCAGAGTTAAAGACTGTTTCATTAAAGTAGAATCGCACGTGATAACCTCGTGAATAATGACGATGAAACCATCTACAACGATGATGAAAATCTTGGCTATTCGGTATTCGACGACCTTCATTATCTTAAGAAACCATGAAGAAACCTTGAAACCTTCGAGTCTTCCCTGTAAGCAACTTTTGGTGAGTTGATATTCATAGTACTTTAACAATTTGAATATTTTGCACCAGATGTCTGAAGGAAAGACAAAGAAAAGTGAATTTATCAGATCGAATAAGCTATGCGGTGCGGTTCTCGTTTTCATTAACGTACAGCAATACCCAATTTCGCACAAAACATAGCCTTAATTTAGGATTAAGACAGTAGATTGCCAATACTGTTACACTGAAGCATTCAAAATAGCTCATGCACGTAAAACGTGCCTATGTTTAAACCAATCAGAAGTACATCCAACCCCAGTTGTGTATTGATCGCACGTATTCTTCGGCGCTTGATGCCTGCTCAACCGTAAAATTCCGCATATTTTCCCTTCGGTTTTTTACAACCCCCCGAATTACAAGCCCCATAAATTCGAGATGCAAAAATCTCCATATAATAATAACTAGCCCCTCCGGGGGCTTATATTTGGAAGCTGTCCTCAAATACATAAGCATACTGTTCTAAAATGATTTATCAGAAAATTCTTGATGTTGTCACAGAGCTGTCATTAAGAGGCGGGGGCCGGTGATTTCCCCCGGCTACTATGAACGTGGCCCCCGGCTACTTTCAAAGGAAAAGAAAAGAAAAGGAACTAAAACAAACCCCTAGCTGTTTGATTCTTCGCCTACTTGTTGTATTTACCCGGCACCTTGAAATCTTAGTGACAACCCTGAATGTTGCAAACGCTACTTTGTTGGTTCATTATTGGGTCGTCATTTCTGGAAACGATATCCCTTTTTCATGAAAGATTATAACCATTTAAGCCAAATACCCCATTTTTACACACTGAAAAACTGCTGACAGAAATTTTCCTCCGATTGTGAACTGTTATGATTGGCGAAAAATAGTATCTGACCGACTGAAATGTCTATCTTACGATGTACTTACTCTGCGTATCCGATGAAATCCGGATGATTCGTGTTAATATAAGCAAGTTCCATGTCGATAAACGTTTTAACCTAACAAGAGAAGAATGTAAGGCTTCTTGTGAAAGCAATCAAAATAATACCAGAAACATTGTTGAAAATTGACAGTAAAACAACAACGCAATTTTATTTTTCTTCATGGTCGGTTGGGATAGAAAAAGGTTCTCGCCGATAACTGCTTAGAAACTGTTTTCTCGCGTCTTTCATTCTCAAAAGACATTCACCGAAGAAACTCCTGCAAGATCTAAATTTAAAAAAAACTGAATGGCATTTCATTGTGAGCCTTGAATTGAAACATAAAGACATCGCCCTTAAAAATACTGCCTACTACCACACTCTGGGCATCTCACGTTCACGCGAATAATATAAAAAATACACCACTGCATATTACACCGTCCAGTACCTGGTCTTTAGATTTAGCCTCTCCTTTTCTTCCATGTTGCACCACGATTTTCTCTACTTGGTCCCTAAGCAGTGGGTACTTGTCCATCTGCAATTCAAAAAGAGTGTTAATAACTATCACTAAAACATTAATGGATGAGGTTTTTGTGATATCCAGGATAATCTGCCGGGCCGAAGGCCGAAGCTGATAACCATTACCGAGACCTTGATTATTTCGGATTTTACAAAAAAAAAAATGGAAATTGCTTGTTCACCCACGAAGCGCATAGGAGTTCATATGAACTCGTTTAAACGTGTCCTTACGTTCCAGATCGAATTGGAATTTGGAAGTGTTAGTTTTTGAGGAGAGGGGAAAACCGGAGTACCCGGAGAAAAACCTCTCGGAGCAAGGGAGAGAACCAACAACAAACTCAACCCACACATGGCGTCGACGCCGGGAGTTGAACCCGGGCCACATTGGTGGGAGGCGAGCGCTCTCACCACTGCGCCACCCTTGCTCCCCGAATCTAATAGCTGTTGTATTACACATTGTTGGGAAGAAAATAACCTTGGCATTATAAGCAAAATGAACTAGATAGCTGTGCACGACACAGCCCTGTTGATACATACAGTGTTTTATTTTCTTAGTACCCTAAAACAAATGTACAAAAATGGAATTCACTCACGTTGGAAGAACATTTCTTGATAACATTCACTAACTCAGACATAACCATGTCCACACACTTCACAGCAGGAGCTCTGAGTTTATCAATCTGACGTTTGACGATAGCTTCAAATGCCATGTCAGGAGTGAACAGACCGACCCTGCATTCACATACGAACAGAAAACGTATCAAACCACCACCAAATTATCGTCAAGTTTCAAAAAGGAATTCAAATAAGTCGAAAGGATGAAGTTCAAATAACGAAAACTCTAGTTTCACTAAAGCAAAAAAAAAAAGAAAGAAACGGGATTTAAAAATTGGCAAATTTGTGACTCGAGATTTCTATTTTGCCTGGTTTCCCTAATAAGCGTCTGGAGAAACTTGTTCACCACAATTTTTGGAGATTATTTGGGAAATACAGAAATTCTATCCTATATAGAATCTGGAATCTGGCCCTGGTTGTTCAAAAGCAGGATAGCGGATAAGTACTAGGGAAAGCAATTGCGTTATCCACTGGATGGATTTATCCACCTTTTTTTAAATTAGTTAATTAACCCAAAGTAGAATACAAAACTAAAAGGAGGAGCAATCTTGTCGTGTTTATCAGCCATGTTTCCAAAAACTGTAGAATACTAACCTGATACCATGAATATTCTTTATAGCAAACATTATCTCCTTTCTTAGCTGCTTTTCATCAAACTCAACCTAAGATTTCATATGACGAAACACTAGTTAGTTATTACAGACTAGCATTATAACATAGCTAGAAAATTCGCCTAATCAAATTCAATAGCGCGAGCGTGCTTCATATTCCTATTGAGCACGCTGATGACGTCAATAAACTATTCGTAATTCCTCGAGTTGTTGTGAGCTTAACAATCCTGAGTGTCCTGAGTCTATCCATAGCTCAGCAATAGACAATGAAGCGTTTACCATGTGTTTTATAAGGAAATTTAAGAGGAAACGTTTGAATTTGTTAACCGATAGTAAGGAAAAGAGGTGAGTGTTGTTGTTGTTGTTGTTGTTGTTGTCATCTCCGCGAGCTGTGCGGGCTATGGCGTGAGATCATTCTTTGCAAACTTGTTTTCTCTCAATAACAATTTTTCGGTAAATTAATAGTTTTCCGGCACCTAAGTATGGATTTTACAATCATTTTAGAGTACACTTTCTCTCAGTTTCAGGATAAAGACATAAGATTAACTGTGAGGAAAAAAAAATATAGTCACGTAAACATTGACGCGTACTGCTTTGAGCGCGCCCTACAATAATAAAATTTTAAGTTAACTGCTGCATTGATCCCTTTGATAATGTTATAAAACAATGCTGCAGCTGTGGGTATGTCGAGATATTGAGCACTTGGGAAGTTTGGAGAGCACTCAAGAGGCTAGAGTTGCACGAGGCGAAGGCCTCGTGCAACTCTTACGCCTCTTTCGTGCTCTCCAAACTTCCCAAGTGCTCAATAGTGAACTTAAGCAAAGACGTTTTTGAGCGACGCACGAACTAATTGTTAAATAGACTGCACAACGGGTATTATTGTGGAGTGTTCAGATTGGTTTGAGGGCACCAGCGTGAAGCAACAGACACGAGCGGTACACACTTTGTAGAAAAATAAGAACTGTTGTGTGAGTCACGTATACAAATCGACAACAATTTTTCCACAGCCTATACTCTTAAGGACCAAACAAATTAACTCAAAATATTGGAATAAACGCGACAAAGATTGAAAAAACGGGAATTCATTTTAAAACTGACGTTTTCGCTGCCGTTGCTGTGGTCGATGCTAAAGCTCCCTATTTCCCGCGCCAACGGCAACCGGGATCACAGATTAGATAAAAACACGTGGTCGTCTCTGTGAAAAGTAATTTGCCACAAAAAAGTTCAACAGTCCTTTCTTAACCAAAGTTTGGACCCCCCAATCTGCCCTGCACATTATTATTTATTTTACTTTTAAGAATCCTTTTGAAACTTTTTATATTGACTTCTACGTTACATTGCATAAATGTTCTACTAACAGCCATTTTACCTTGACTAACTCGTATGGAAATCGCTCATGAAATATTCTGTTTATCTTGGCTCCACCTGAAAGTTCCTTTGTATCAATTTGATCTCCAGATCCCTCAATGGCTTTCTCAAAATCATTATTGAACTGTTGAATCATCCTATGATAATAACAATGTTAATAAAACAATTAACATGAAAAAAATTCAAGTACACAAAGGAAAATGATATACATTGTATGGATTAGAATGGAGGTGTGGTGGGAGATGTTTCAGATGAGGGTAAATGAAGTATAAAGAAAATAGCACCTTGATTCTTTCAAGAAAACATTACTATTATGAAATGTGTGCTTTCTATATTCATTTGTCAGTCATTCGTATCCAAGATGGTTTCTAATCGTAGTCAGGGAAAATTCACATACAGCTGCACATCTGTACTCAGAAGTGTGCAAGGAAAGGTAATTAGTCAAGTTGATGGCTGCTTTGGTAAAAAAACAATTATTAGTCAAAGGCTTGTGAGCAGCTCCACGTGTCATTAATTTTTCACTTTTTCACATAGGGCCAATTTACCACACGAGAAAAAAATTGAGCCTACACCAAAGACGAAACTAAACTCTTGTTAAGTCCATCTGCAAAACACACCAAAATCCTTGTTCTGGGTTCCGAACTCTGTGCCAAGATTCAAGTCAGACCATGATTGATCTGTTAAAAAAGTCATTGTCCATTTGCCGATCAGGTTGAAAGGGAAATCTAAATACACTTCTGGCCCCAGTTGTTCAAAAAGGTGGATAGCGGTATCCATTGGATAAATCTCTATCCAGCGGAAAAGTATTAGGGAAACCAATTGCATTATCCACTGGATAGAGATTTATCCAGTGGATAGCACTATCCAACTTTTGAACAACTCGGACCTGGCCCCGGTTGTTCAAAGGTTGGATAGCGCTATCCACCGGATAAATCTCTATCCAGCGGATAAGTATTACGGAAGTCAATTACGCTATCCGCTGGATAGTGATTTATCCGGTGGATAGCGCTATCCAACTTTTGAACAACTGGGGCCTGGTGATTAAACTTTATTGAATCCGTTGCGGGCCCATAACAGGAATGTTACAGATGCTGCTGCACAGACATTATTAACCGCGGTTAAATTATGTTGGGACGGGGGCTAGTTTGTGGGTCATTTCATTTGTTAATCAAGGGACTGTGCAATAATTACCTGGAGGGGGGGATGTTGGGAAATGGGTGAAATATGCCCCAAAACTAAGTCATACCCCCCTCTCATTAAGCAAAAATTAATTTCAACCCCCCCTCACATAATGATAATATTAAGGCTAACCCCCCCCCTTGAAAAAAGTCTCCTCCCATTGATTCCCTCATACCTAGTTTACTTGTTGGATTTCTTCCTCCAATACAAACATCACTTCAAATGACTCTTGGACATACGTCGAAGAGTCATTTGAATAGTCATCAGAAACACTGAACTCTAAGATTGTGTCGTCTTCGCATGAATTGGGAGATTCCTCATCTTCTACAGCACTCTGGCACTGAAGGTTCCCACGTGCGTGGGTGAGAACTCGATCAATCAACTCAGCTTTGCTTCCACTTATCTTAAGACCTACGGGGTACTAATATTTTATCACTTCCTAAGCCATCTACAACCACATATGGTCTAAATTCCTTTAGCTATTCATCTGTTAAGTACTGGAATTCTCTACCTGATCACTTTAGAAAGACTGTAGATTATAGTGAATTTAAGCGCAAATTGTTAGTGCACGGTTGTAGTTAATACTACATTAATTTATATTATATCATATATGTTGTAACTTTTAAAATTAGTTAGGATCGGAGATACTAGCTATGTAAGCTACACTGAAATACGAGGATAAATAAAGTTGTATGTATGTATGTATGTATGTATGTATGTATGTATGTATGTTAAGACCTTTTTGCTTTAGATACATTTTCAGCAGCTTGTTGGTAAGCGCTTTTACATCTTTTACATGTTTTATTTAGAATACTTTAAATTAATTTGTATTGTGTGCTATTAAAATTTCAACAGTTGGGTTTTTCATTCTGCTAAATCATGATGTCTTGTGTGCTAACAGTGGCATCTTTCTTTTTCATTGAATAACATTATAGTCAGTGCTACTTTTGCAACAGTTTCTTGTTTTATTAAATCCTAGAGCTAATAAAGTAGTTTTAACATATATAACAGAGGCATTCCTTTCCTACTGCATGGCAGATAGGAAAACAACAGTTCATAGATCAGAACACCTTGGAGTGGATAAATTTGTCAGTTTTATTCCAATGTTATTAAAGTTATAATTATTTGAACTCTAATAACTCTTTCAATACTTTTCCAGTTTGCAAAAAGGAATGAAAAAGTAATGCCCCCCCCCCCCTGTATGTATTAAATTTTACATCCAACCCCCCCTCTCTCTTGTTGCCATTTTTTCCTATGCCCCCCCTCTCTAATTTTCCAACCCTCCCCCCCCACTTCCAGGTAATTATTGCACAGTCCCTAAGAACTTTTGCATGCCACTCACTGCATCAAGGCTTTGGTCTTCATGGATGGGTCATCAGGGTTGTAGTGTTCAAATCCTTTAACCTCCTTCTCAAGTGCCATGATGTTCTCTTCTAATCTGCTTCGGAGTGCTGGCAATGTTTCTCTGATGTGATTAGTCAATTGCTGAAAAATTAAATAAAATTAAGATCATAAATGTACATCAAAACAGTGGATCAGGATGGGTGCTTTAAGCATCCAGGGGCTGCTTGCAATCAGGGCCCAAAAAGGGTTCCTTCCAGTTGAAGGGGGCTAGTGCAATGCGGATTTTCCTGCTGGGCAAGTAACTTTTTACACGTAGCTCACTTTTCCAATGGGTAAGGGTCTACAAATGTCATCTTGAAATTAGATCAGTAACTGAGGATGCTTTCCAAAAGTGGGAACTGGCTGGCAAGACCGGTCATTTTGAAGAAGAAATATTAGTCTTTTCTCGACAATTTTACTAAAACCCGTCACTGCTGTGCATACAGTCATGTACCATTAATTTTAGGAATAAACTGATCTGCAGGCTAGATAGTCGTAACAGTGGAATTCTCTAAATGACTGGACTGGTCTGGCCAGTCAGTTCTGACAAATGAATGGTAAACGCTCCAAGACACACATTCAATGATCCTTGCCGAGCAAAATGTAAGAGCTGCTTGGACAAGATCATCTCAAGGTTGGAGCCCTGATCACATACATGTAAGCCACTCTACAACGTTAACAAAGCCTGGTAACCCAGCCATTTGCACCTAAGCAGTGGGGAGGTCAGGTACCCATTACACAGTCACTGATGCAAGATAGGAGAGAAGAAAGGAAAGTGGGAGACATGGATGGGGGTGATGTCCTTTTCTCATATTATAACATACTTATCCTGCATCTTACCTGGTTAAGAATCTTTTGCAAATAAGAAGTCCCCATTTTGTCTGCTAAATGCCTGAAATGATAACCAACATTACAGAAGTAAAAACTTACAACATGTACATTGTACATGTACTTGTTACAGGTAAAAATCAAATTTAAGTTGAAATTTTTCAACCTAGGTTGATTCTCAAATTCCTGTGTCTCCTAGCCCTAATTCATGAATAATCAGAGCTAGGAGACAAAGGAAACTGAGAATCAACCTAGGTTAAAAAAAATTAACCTGAATTTAATTCTGACCTGTAACATATGTATATGACAAACAACAGACCATAAGTCTATCAACCACTTTGTTCAATCTCTTTGGGATTTTCTGTAATTTAGCAAGCACAGAATGTGAATTTCAGATCCTAAAAATGCAGAGAGTGAGGAAAACATTACTATGAAACCACATCTACAGGCAATAAATCCGTACACGCATCTCTGAGGAAAAAAAAAAACAACAAAAAAACAGACACTAGGCTATTCACATAAGACCTCACCCTAATATAGATAGAGATAGTAGAACTGAGATTCCAGAAGTGTGGATCAGACAACACAACATCCAACATCCAACTTTGGATTAAGACCCACCAGGCTTGAGTGAGATTCATAACGCACCAATCACAAACAACCATAATGATGCTAATAGGCCCAAGTTGCTCAAAAGTTGGATAGCCCTATCTATGCAAAACAATAGCTTAAACTTTTCCAGAACTTTGGTTTCAATTCATGCTCTCACCTGTATGAAGGATGACTGAGGAAAAATTTACGTTCAGAAGCTAAAGCTGATCTGATGTCTTTTCTTCCATCAATGTCAGCTTGACTTCGGTTTACCACTCCAACGTAGCCTGCAAAAAATTAATAAAGTCAATGAAGTCAACATTCTTAACCAGGGTTGTCACTAAGACTTCAAGTTGCCAAGTAAATACAACAAGTAGGGGGGAATCAAACAGCTAAGGATTTCTTTTAGTTCCATTTTTCTTCAATTTTCCTATCAAAGAAGCCAGGGGAAATCCCCTGCCCCCACCTCTTAAAGACAGCCCTGCTTAACTTTTGATTATGGCAAAGAAACCAAAGTTTGATTATTGCTACCATCATCATAATCATCATCATCATCATCATCATTATTAATGTCAAGCAGGCAACCATAAGTTTCCTCCAGCTGCTGCAATCATCGGCAAGCAAAACAATAATTTGGCTTGGCTACAGCATATCCCTCCAATATCTCCTTGGAGGTACTGGACACACTGGAAAGTTTCATTCATGACAAATATAGGATGAATAGGCTCAAAAATGTACTCAGTGTGCCCATAACAGGGTTTGCTCCAGCAGTGCCAAGTTGGCCCCTGGCAATTAACTCACTTTGATTAACTAACTTTGTTTGCCCAGAGACTAGGGCCTAGTTGATCAAACACTGGATTGCACTATCCACTGGAAAAATCACTACCCAGTGGATAAGTATTAGGGAAACCAATTGCACCATAGCGTTATCCACCTTTTAAACAACTGGGGCTGGAAGAACAGTAAAAGACTTTGATTTTAGTGTAGCCTGCTATCCTAGTCACTTTAAGCAGTACTACTTTTCAACTACAGTGAATTCATACAACGGTGAAAAACAAAAACCTTTCTGACCTCTTCTTAAAGGAAGGACTCGGTTTTCTAGAATGTCCCGGGCATCTGTTCCTTCATCCATGAGGTCCAACTTGGTTATTACTCCAATCGTTCGTACACCTGAATCATCGAAAGACAAATTTAATCAATGTTCAGTCCGTTTCGATATTTATTCCTGTACAGAGTCAGTAAGTGCAGCAGAGGCCAGGGCCAGTGAAAAACTGAATGAACTATATACATGTAATAAGTGATAAATTTCTCCTTAGTTCAAATTTTATATTCTTCTGCATCATTTTCTTGGAGCAATATTATTTTACACACCTCCAAAAAAACTGGCCAAGTACAAAGAGTGCAATCAAAAACTTACCCTCAGGATCTACCTCCTTTGCAATCTTCAGTGCATCAGAGTTAGCTAAATCTGAGTTTGCAGGTGACACTGCCAGTATAAGGCAGTTTGGTTTGGTGATAAACTGCATCAACATGCTTCTAATCAGCATTTCTATATCTGCTGGCTGATCACCAACAGGAACTTTTGTCATGCCAGGAAGATCCACCAGAGTCAAATTCAGCACTAAAACATTTAAAAAAATTTGCGAGTAAGATACATGTATTGGGCCTTAGATGGTTTGCTTCTGCTAGTGCTAAACTCCAAAAAAAAAAACATCGCAATTATTTCAAAATGAAACCTGGCTTTAATAAGTTTGTGTCACTAAATTATTAAAAGAAGACTGACTTCCACAGGGTTCATTTCTAGTATACAACGTTAAAAACAATTTTTTTTCTCATAAATAAATATTAAAAATATTTATAACTGATTATTGTAGAGTATATAAGGAAGTCATCTTATAGCACGTATGGTCTGTGTAACAGTCTATACATGTACATAAGAAGTCAAACCTTAAACATTATTAATTTTTTCTAAAAAGAATGACAATCTTTTGTTGTATGCAAATATTTGACTTGATAAAGTGTGTGTTTCTGATTCTCTGAGACCTTTGACATACCCCAGTCTAAACGAAGATAGAAATTAACATTTTCCACCCTGTTTCCTAGTGATCAGAGTGGCATTCTATCATGGTGCAAAAGCACATGCATGTGTAACATGCATTGAGATCAACTAATTCTAGCAGTATGCAGGATGTTTTTCACATCAAGGCTGTGCTCTAAGGAAAATTGAATAGCACCCAGTGCTCTGAAACTGTAAAATCTAGAGTGCCCAGTATAAGAATTTTTATGAAAAAAATAAGATTTTCTAGTCGAGCAAGAGCAAAAGTTGGGCACCAGGGACCACTGGGCTCTGTTAGAACCTGCCTTGCACATGAATCTAGTTTAATGCACTGAACTCCCATGAGTCTCTTGTAGCTTAGTGTTAGAGCATCTGGGTCAATAACCAGAGGGTCAGAGGTTTGAATCCAATTGGATTTTTCTTCCAAGCCACCTGTGTCACTGACTGAAAATCACCTGTCTCAATCCCATTACTTCATGTATATAGTCATGGAAAGCCACCCAATCAAGGCCACTACCCACTCACCATGAGGGGAGAAAACCCGAAGATTAATCGGTAGAGATGAAATTCCTTTATTGCTGCCAGTTTCTCTGTCAGTTTCTGCCACAATCTCTTTCCTTACTTCTTCAAAATCAGTAAATTTCTTTCCCTTGCAGTGAAGAAATTCTGCAAACTCTGTACAGTATGCAAAATCAAAAGTCAAAGAGTTAATGCACAACAAGATGTACCAGGGAATTAAAAAATGGACAGTTTTACAATAATTTACTTGGATTGAGTTCAAAACTCAAACCAAGCTTGAACTCCCAAGCTGATTAAGCTGATTCCATCCATGCCATGCTCTTTGTTTGATCAATTATTTTTGACACTTACATACATCTGTAGGTTCAGTCTAGTTATGAATTATTGTTTAAGTAATTATTATATTTTCCAAACAACTCTTTTCCTTTGACTTGATAAAGATGATAGTTGAACATCAAAACGTTCGTTTTTTAACCATTAATTTTGTAGCCCTCTTAACATGATCTAGGGAACATTTTGTACAATCTATATCCTGTTTCATTATACTTATTATCATTATTCTTGTAAGAGAGTGTCAATGGGGTGTAGTTGTAATCAGTAAACAGCTAAAAAAACACTAGTTAGTCTGCAAGCAACAAAACAACATTTAGTCAGTTAGTTGGCATGGTTGTGAGTCCTGCAGACGTTAAAGTTGTTTATAGGGTGGTGTTTCCAAATCAATCACTTCCCTAAGACTCCTAAGAGCTCTCCCACTTTTCCAGTACTGATTTGCAATATTTGATTCTTGAACACTTCATCAAATCATGTAGTCTCAAGATAAATTATTTCTTACAAATCCAGCCTAACCGACACCCTTATTTGCCTCCCGTGGTTGAACTTGGAAGACAGCACAGCACTACAATCTGCTTCATCCTCTTTCAGTAAATAAAATTATTGAACAAATGCGCTCCGGATCTGAATTTCTGTATAATTAAGTCATTGTGCTGCTTATCATAACTACATGTATAGCAGAATTCTCTGATCTAATGGCCTACAGGTAGCCCGGATCATCTTCAGCATTAATTGGACAATGTAATGGGAAAGTACATGTCATGTGTAACTATAAGGACTTAAAGATCCATTCATCCAACAACGTGACGGCAAAGAGAACGTCAAAACAACAACTTTGAACGTGCATCACACTTTTTGTACATTTCTTTGCCGTATTTGCATTACTACGACGTGAAAATGCCCAATTTCGTGTTTTATGGAGAACATAAACAAGCAATGATGAAAATCTAATTTCTCTTTTGAAACTTGGATATGTCCGTGGATATGTTCCATAGGAATTCAACTCCAGCTGGGTTTGCCTACATTTGATAAAGTAAGTGTGTAGGGAAAATCGCAATAAAGACTAAAAGAGTGCAAACTCACTTTTCAAGCAATTTTCTTGTTGCCGTCGCATCATTGGACCTCAAAACCCTTGTGATTGAGCAGCACATACAATCGCACACACACTCTTCAATGGGTTCGAGGTGAGGCAAGGGAATCGGTAATAAAACATCCTGCCCAATTGACAACCTGTGATTATACTTTTCAGCGGATTCAACAAATCGGACTCTCACTACACGGCTGTCTGATTTTGTTTACCGGTAATTGTTCATAAGATTACAGGCCTAATTAGACTTCATTCAGTCCTATTATGCCGGATTATAGACACTCTCACCATCCTTGCAATATTGATCACACAAGCAAGGAGCAAGGACACTGAGACAATAAACCATTTTTACAGTAGTGGGCATAATATCTTAGCCTTCGAGTGAATGTGAGGCTGAGATGGTCCTTATTTAAATACAAAACCTCCTTTGTTTTCTTATAGAAATTGTGCTTGAAAAATACTAGTTAGCATAAGAACAACGTGATTTTCACAAGAAAGCAGAGAGAGTTGTAGCAAAACAAGGTAAACTCCAGCCTCGTTCCCATCTATTTTGAATTCAGAGACAACCTCAGGCTAGAACAAGTACCGGAACGTTGCATCAAAGAGCAAGTTGCATATACATCAGCTAACAGCCTTACACAGTGAAGGGAATATCGACAAAATACAGTTCTATCATTCTATCTCACCATATCGTCTTTTCACTGTAGAAAGTCTTGATCTTTTTGTATCAATTTCTTACTTTTTGGGTCTGTATCCGCTTAAAATCACCTGTTTTTATATGCTTGTCAGTTAATGTTTTGTAATTTATACGATTACGATAGTGAAAAAAGGCCTTTATACATTAAACAGTTAACCCCATTGAATCCTTCTCGTAATTATTAATAATATCATCATTATTATTATTATTACTATTTTAATTTTTGAGATTTCACTTTATTTTACTGTATTATTATTATTATTATTATTATTATTATTATTATGTTATTTATTTATTCATTTATTTATTTATTCTTGATGGGGCGAGTTTATGGTTGTAACTTAAATGTAAATCATTACGTTTTCGATCGAGCCTTACAATAATTCAACTAACTGACAGAATGCAACAACAAAAATTGCATGTTGTTCAAACCACATTACCATCAAGATCACTTTACAACGATTTACAATCAGCAGTTTTGGTTTTAACTATAAGAGATCATCATCTCTGTTCTTAGAATGTCACGTAATCCTAATTCCCGAGTGATTAGAGCAGAATAAAATGCATACAATTATTAATCAAATGAACACGTTAACACAATTTTTTTTTTTTAATGGGCACAACTGTTATCAGGACAATGTCGATCACTGGATGAAAAGTAACAAAACAGACCTGCTATCTTAAATTTACGACTCCAATTGCTAAACATTTGAACCAATCGTTACGAACCATTGTAGATCAGATTTCATTCAATAAACATTTACTTTTCTGCAATTTGCCGGGCCTAAGCTCACCTGACTTCGCTGGATGAAGTTGAAGAATCAGTGGTCTTCTTGTGACAATGCCGGATCCTCGCGGTAAGAAATCCCTAGAATATTACATAAATTCAGGCCGTTGATGCCAATATTCGAGTAGTAAACATCGATTGATTCTTGATAGCTATTATCAACGTTTACACTCACCTTCCAACAAAGTTTTCTAAAACACTACTTTTACCAGCGCTCTGGCTTCCCACGACGGCGATCTGAGGCAAATCTATAGACGATGGTTGTCCTATATGCGCAAAGGCATCTTGAATTTTGTTCATAACAGGGATAAGGTCTTCCATGCCTTTGTTCCCCATCTTGGAAAATGGAACAAAGGACGTACTACAACTCTTACTTGTAGGAGCTGTCACAAGATGGCGTTGTTAGCGCAGTGAGTCAGCGAATGTCAGCGGAAGTGCAAGGGTATGAACAACCCAGAAGTCATTTCGAGATAACCCAGAGTCCTCTGGAGCTCTCTGGCTTTTTGGTCGAAGACTCTGGGTACGAGATTGGGAGTGGAACTGGCCAAGGGACCACAAGGTTTCGTTAAATCGAGGATTTTTTTTTTCATATATTTTTCTATTTTGGGGATAAAGAAAATCGTTCGTTATATTGACGACTTCTTTATATAGGGGTTCGTTAAATCTAGATTCCACTGTAGTATGGAACCCATTCCCAAACGGTCACTATTTGCCTTGAGGGAATATAATTGGTAAATCAAAATTTTGGCGTTTCTTTATAATAAGCTTATGTAAAGCTTTTTTTTTTCGACACGGCAAACTCTGAAGACGACGCGAACTGATGGGAACCCAAAGAATTATTTCATAGTTATCTCTGTGTTTGAAAATCTCCGTAAAATATTGGCCGCATGAAATGGTTTTCATCGCCCTCTTTTGTTGAGAGCTGAACGTTCCGCTTAGCCTGTGTCGGCCGCCCCACCCCCTTACAAAAAAGCTGTGGGGGAAGGGGAAATATGTAGCCAATCCGTGACCCTGCGAAAGCGCCATTGTCTTTTTTTTTTTGCTTTCGGCAGGGCGGGGGAAGGGCTGGCTGAGACAAGAGGACTGTGAAAGAAATGAAAAGCAAGGTTCGAAAACCTAGACATAAAACAAGGACTGCCTATAGCCATTTATATAGCCTGCGTAGCAAGCGTTTCCGCGCGAGTTCGTCGAGAACGTTGGGATGAGAGCAAAAAAAAGGGAATGACGGGGAAGGGAGAGGGGACAGTGATTCTTCATAGGGATATGGAGAACTCAGTTTTTCCTCTTCTCCCCTCCCCCTCCCCCTTCCATTTTGTTTTTTTTGCTCCCGCTCCAACTTTCGCGCTAAAACTCGACTGGAAACGCTTGCTACGCAGGCTACCATTTATATTTTTCAAAGTATGGCTAGAAAATTGGCTAGAAGGCCATGGGGTTTGGGTCCTCGTTACGAAGTTTTTTTACAAATGCCGAGCTCAGAAATGCAAATTTCCGACGAAATGCACGCGCAGTTCGTGTCAAGCCAAGTTTGCATACTAAAGATTGGTATTATGGTCTTTCCAAGATATGGACTGTTGATTGTTTGACTCGAGGTAGAGGATCAAAATGTTTGGAGCATTTGCAGCCAATTATGGACTGAAAAATATAGAGAGAAGACACATACCAATCACGATGATAGCTTTCTCTCAACTCAGAGCAGGTGAGGAAATTGAAGTTCTTTTTTATTTAGGCATATTGAGGTCTTTGCCAAATAACTCTGCGTTCAGCTCCACAAGCTCTTAGCTACACACAAAAAGCAAACTGACTGATAATTGAATTTACTCAGTGCCGAACTTCACGTCGTTCCTAATATTATGAGATCCGTCCTTGAAGGCTAAGGAGAATTTTACAATAATTTTAATTTTCCGACTGTATTATACGACTAGGTTGATTTTTGTTGATCAGTTAACTGATTCGTAACAAGAAAGAGAAACAAGTCAAGCAAGACTGAGTTCCCCATATCCCTATAAAGAATTACTGTCTTTATAGGCATCTATATTCTCCTTTTCCATCCTCTCCTTTTCCTTGCGACTTATCGTATGGAGTTAAATGTATACATAGTGGAAAGACGCTTTTGGAAATGAAACTGTTTTAAACAAAAATGGGACGTTCCATTTTGAGTCAAACCCACCCCGACCCCCTCGATGACGAGATTTGTATCAAGTTTTATTTAAATCAGTCTTCTAAAACCTAATTAATGTGAATCTAAAATAGAAAACACATTTTGCGTCCAATTAAACGGGTGTGGAATTTAAGTTTGCTTCTTAACGTTGCGGTGGGACCTGCACTCTGAATGGCCTGATGGTAGTCCGAAGCTCGATCTTTAAATTATATTAAAGCTTGAACTTTCACTTTGATATGAATATATAAAGTACAAGTAACGATGTATTTAAATACTCTTATTTTTCTAGAACAGTGAGGAAATGGAATAGCCTCCCTTCTGACATTGTATCTGCCAAATCTTTAGATATTTTTAAGAGTATGTTAAGCGATTAATTACGCGGAGATTAGTATGAAGTGAACCTCCTCCAGTATTTATTTATTTATATTTTATTTGTTAGTATTTAAATAAATTTTAAATCTTTTCCTTCTTAATTTAACGTTAGGATGATAACTGTACATAGTTTCTGCTGACTACTTAATGTAGATGCAGATGGAGATGAATTCAAAGCAGCTGGCCAAATCGCAACGCATAATTAAAAACAAAGAAATTCGAAAACACAACAACAACCTTCCTCCTTTTAGTATGTATTTCATTCCCCACTTGTTCTTTGCGAAAAGAAAAACTATTATTGAACATTTAAACGGTACTACTTTTATATAAAAATGAATTAGATTAAAGGACAGTGCAACGAAGTTCCCACGTCTTTTTATTTCGTGAACAGAACGCAAGATGCGAACAGATGATTGATTTTGATAAAGCACGGTGGCTGCTCATTAAGGATCTTTACGAGAGAGCTGCATGAAACTTTACAAGCACGGGTTATTTCAGAGAGAAGTCGTCCGGCATATGTTTCAAACGTCTTACTGATTACCGGTAGGTGGAGTGGTAGGAGTTAGGGTTAGGGTTAGGGTTATCCTTGGGATTCTTGGGATTCCTGTGGTTTTTTGTTGACCTGTGGTTCTCAGGGGTGTACCTTTTCATCAAGCTTTTTTCGTTGTGTGTATGCATTTTCGGCCCTATCATTTGAACTACATCATAATACACGCGCATTACTCTCAGGTTCGATTAAAGTTAAGAAAAATTTTGCGTTTGGGGAGGAAATGAAATTTGGAGTTGTCTTCAAAGCGGGTTTGAACACAACGGGCTGAAATTAGACTTCGTAGAAATACACAAATAAACACCAAGTTAACGTTTGTTCCGTCCGTGCTGTATTGAGGAATTTTTAAAATTACCCGTGCGTTTGAATCTGTTTATTTCTCACCTACATGAAAAACATTCTGCTTAGATAAAGTACATTTGAAGGAAACAAAAAAGGCTTTGTGGGATCTACTTCTCATTATTTTTATTGACCGTATTCGAGGGTGGAAAAAACATTTTTTTTTTCAATTTGAAGCCGTTTATGTGGGGAGTATAGGAATGTTTCGAAAGAATTTTTAATTATTATTTTTTTATATATATAAAATAAATTTTTTTATGATCTTTTCTCAACTATGTATCTTTTAAATAATGCTTGAAGGTAATACTAAAGCCAGCCTGGGGCTAAGACAACTCGAATGCGGTCATTGATTTATACATATGACTACTAGCCTTGCTATTATATGCAACTACAATGTGTGTATGCGTTGAAACAAGGATCAGTTTAATAATTCATGGCTTCGTAGATTTCTTTATTTTGTTAGGGTAACTCTTACATTTTATTTCAACAAAAAAATTACTTTTGATTGAAGGAGACAGCCCTTAATAACAACGACATCTATTAAACTAATAACTAAAAAGAAAAAGAATGAACTAAAACTAACTACTTATAAGTAAACTGAACTTTGATACAGTATAGAAAGGCAGCACATGAAATTACTATTGCTATAAAAAATCTTATCTTTTGTGCGTTTCATACAAGCGCCTCCGGCACGAATCCTCAGGGCGGCCCTATCCTACGTCATGACATTAATAAATTGATTGTTTTGTGTTGTGAAACGAACTTTTATTACATTGTTAGTTCGGGGTGATGAATGGTCCATTAAAGTTTTTAACTGCTCGCAAAATTTTACCTTTGCTCGATTTGCTCGCAAAAAATAAAACGAGTGCTCGCTCTGCTCACGGGGCTTTCATGGGCCGTGTTTTCAATAAAAACGGTTTGGAAGCTTTAGGATTCTTCCAGAGGAGGGTGTTTTTGTTTGAGTTGAAATGCTCTATGAGAAGAGTCATCAAGGCTTTCACTTTTACCTTGCTCACGTAATCTCAATGTACATGCAGTTTCTATTTCACGTTGAATTTGTTTTAAAGCCTCCAGGGTCATTCTTGTTCCCGAAATAGTCTTGGAGGATGGAACAGTGTAAGGGCCTTCTACAGACGTTCTGCCACCGTTTTAAAAACCCCGTTTTAAAATATTTTCTTTTTTATTTTAAAGAAAAGGATTTCCATATGGATTGCTGCAAGAAAAAAATATAAGAAGTGCTCACTGCTTGCGAGTTGTACTCTCTAAGCTGCTCGCTGCTTGCTGCTCGCAAAGCAAATTTTTTTTATCTCTGCCCGTGCTCGCATGCTAGCGAATGCTCGCAAAGACCATTCGTCACCCCTTCAGTTAACTTTCGGAGTTTATAAATGATGACTCGCCTTTGTCGACTTAGTCACAATTACACTGAATACTAAACCATTCTCTGCCGAAAAATTGAGGAACACTATTAAAATTGCTTCTTGCAAAAAGCAGGATCAGCAAAAACAACTTTTATCCCTTTTGGCCGGCATTGATCTTAAGCAAAGGCGTTTCTTACGAAGTGAACTTTTTGTATGACACGTAATCGTCAACAAAGCAACAGCAACAACAATGTATTTCCATTGGGCCGTCATCATAAACGCTAAACAGAAAAGGGAATGGGATAAATTTATCAAGCGACAAAAATTTGTACCAAACTTTCAGTGAATGGAAAGAAATTTCGGTAAGAGCTCAGTCTCTGGAATTCTCCGCAAACTTTGTTGATCCTCCCTGGCGTCGGACCTTCCTCCCGCCATTATTTCGATCAAGTGGACGTTTGACATTGCACTCTCGGGTGCACTGCAAGCAAACATGCTTTTAAGCCCTTCTTTAAATTTCTTACTACGAAAGCTGTAAATTATCGGGTTAAAGCATAAACTGCAA